GCGACACATTCTCCAGGACTGGAGAACCGAGTGCCATCCTGGGTGAAGTAGGAGGTGGAAATGAAAGGCTGGGTGATTTGAGACCAGCTTGCCTCCATTACCCTGCCTGAAAATGAAGGGAACACCTGTTCTTGTCTGCAGACAGAGAGGATTTGACAGAATTTTAAAAATAAAAAGTGAAATGAAGGAAATTTAGATCATTCTCTGCAAAAGGACTTTGTGGATTTCCTGTCGGTTAAAGATGTGGCAGCATTATTGTTCCTGTTTCTGGGGATGTCAAGAGTAAAGTGATGTGACGTTGTCAAGTGCTTGGACTTACTGTAACCAGACGTGCTGCCCCAAAGGTCACCTGTCAGGGCTGTAAAGTCGGGGGATGTGGGGACGGGAGGAAGTCAGCTAGGACACCTAAAAGTCCCTCCTAGGTCTTAACTCTGATTCTTGTGAAAAATCTGTTACTTGGAAAAATAAATGGCAGGGATGGACTTTCTGGTTCTATGTGTGTGGCCAAGTGAGATAAACAGATCCCTCATGCCAATGCCAACCCCTCATTGACACCCCAAGAAGAAAAACTTGTTTGCTGTGGGTGGAGACGGTGTCCCTGCCTTTTTCCAGAGACAAGGGCAAGACAGGAAAAGGGGACCAATTTCTAACTACCATGTGCTAGACCCAGGTTTGTGATGCGTATTATTTTAGTTTTATGATCACAACCCAATGTCATAGGTAGAATTGGCATTTTCTGTGTTACAGATGAGGACACAGAGGGGCAGGGGCATTAGAACACTTGAATAAAGCAACACAGCTAGCCGGCAAGTGGAGTCGGACATCCGGGACCACAGTTTGGTCAGGGCCACCATCCCCATTGGGGCTTGTTGGCTCTTTGAAGACATGGGCATCCCAAGGCTCACATCTGAGTCCCCATGCCTTTCTCTTTACACATGAGATGTTTTCTTTTATGCTTGTATCCATAGAGAGGGCTTTCCCCTGGGAGTGTGCCCTGGGGGCCTGGGGCTGTGAGTTACTGTGCAGATGTGAGGCGCCAGGTGTGCTGAAGGCAGCTCAGTTTGTGAAAGGGGTGACTCCTTTGTTTCACCCCCAACCCCCATGTGAGATGAGGCTTCCTGGGGCCCAGGGGCAGTATTATTAATAACTACTCATTGTTGGCATTTTGGAGCTAGGTAAGCATTCTCTCATTGCTACTGTTCAGGGTTACACATCAGTGACGCATAGCCTGGGATTTGGCACTGGCTCCCAGGTCTGATGGATTTCTTTGATCCTAGTCTTTTTCAGCTGCTCGGCTCAGTTTCAAAACTGGGTGGGAAGTGACACAGGCTCGTTTTCTGGTTGTTTTTCTTGTGTCCCCTGATGGGTATGGCCATAGTGGAGTGGTAGAAAGGAGGGACAGGAAATGGGACCAACCCATCTGAGTTTGGAAACCTCAGTTAAACGTTGCTTTGTTTCCTTCAATCTGATAGTGTTTTCCATTACCACTATTAATACATAATACTGTATGTGATAAACTAATAAACAACAAATACTGAAAACTTTAAAAAGACAGAAGCAAAAATCACTCTTTTCCTACCACATACTATTGTTGATGTTTTTGGTGTAGATCCTTCCAGGGTGTGTGTGTGTGTGTGTGTGTGTGTGTGTGTGTGTGTATTGTGTATTGTGTATTGTGTATGTGTGTATGAAATTGTGTACACTTCTTTTCTGTTTACAGAAACACACTATGTTGTCTGACTTTTTTCCTGCTTTTGGTATTATAATGTGAGCTTGTTACTGCACCAGTAGATATTCTTTAACCTTTTATTGAAAGGGTTGTAAAGATGTAAAGTACCCCATTACAGAAATGTAACAATTTTCTTTATTCCTTACTGTTGGGTATTTAAATTCTATACTTTTTATAATTAAAAATAATATTGTTTCTCTCTCCAAAGTTTATGCCATATTACCATCCCACGTGCAGAGTATAAGAATTAATATTTTCCAGCACCTTTATAATGTATTTTCCTAATCCTGGCCTATTAGGCCAAAAAAAAAAAATGACTTTTTTTTTTTTTTTTTTAACCTTGGCCAGTTTTAAGAAAGAGCATGAGCATGTATGAATGGGCTCTTTGGGGGTGAGGAAAAAATATGTCAGCCACCTTGGTTTGTGTATCTTTATTTGCCGCTTCATTTTTCCTTTGCCAATGTAATGCAAAAACACTAGGTCCTAGGTCTCCACCCTAACAGAAAAGGTATATAAAAATATATTTTTAAGGATATTTCTCACAGTTTTATTTCTAATGTTAATGTGAGAAAAGATTTTAAAAGCTGAAATAGCCTAAGTTCTTACGGTGGGTGATTACTTGAATTAATGGTGGTAATGGAATATTATACAATCACTGAAATCATTTAATAGCATAGAGAAAAATCAAGCTATAAAATATGTACATTATGACCTAAATTAAATATGTACATAGAAAAAAGACTGAAAGGGTTAATGTTAATCATTTCTAAGTGGCATAATTGTACTTTTTCTCTTGTATTTTCAAAAGTCTCTAACCGGTACAAGTATTACTATTATAATCATAAACAAAACATGTTAGCATAAATTCTAAAATATTATACATGGCAATAAAGAGCTGTAAGTAACTGGGTTTTGGGTCACTAGGATTCTATTGAGAACATTCTTTGAGGTGTGTGGAGTTCTTTGGAAGTTTCCAGGACCATTTCATAGGAGGGGCTTCTGAGGAGGCCAGAGTCAAAGTGCGGAGACCAAGGGTAGCTTTTCTGCCGTTTGTGTTGAAGGGGGTGCAGGTGGTGCAGGAGAAATCTATACAGGTGCCCACTGCCCCGACCCACAGGGCACGCTGGACATGCCACCCAAAGTACCAGTAGATCTCAGGATCACCGCAGTTGGTGTTTGGAGGCTGGAGGGATGGGGACGCGAGAGGGTTAACATCTAAATGTCATTGGGGGGACCGATTGGATGTGTTTAAGTATTTCTGATAATGACAAGTATCATGGGGACAGAATTCTATGCCAATCCCCTTACCTACTGATGAGGAGATGGAGGTCTGGGGGCTTTAAGTCACTTGCCCATGCAATGGTCTTTATTTTTTTTCCCCATCCCAGTGTCCTCTGTCCCAGTGTCCCACTGCCATGGTGCAGTATGTCATGTGTTTGGTATTTTCAGATAGGCTGAGATGATGCATGGCATACTTGGATGGTGTTGAAGTACTTACACATTGCTTGAGTAGCATTTGAATAAAAGAGGATTATTTAACTCTTTGAGTAGTGGGTTTGGGATTTGAGGAGGTCATTGTTGTTTTTTTCTCATTATATTATGAAAATTATTCAGTGATATTCAGAGGAAGAGAAAATACTGAACTTTGTAATAAACAGCAATGGGTCAATGGTAGAATGGATTTATTTTTCCCAGACTCAGGTTTCCACATGCAGCTGTCCTTATTTTCTGATGTTGCAGGCACTTGATGGCGTGGCATTTTCTCCCATTACGGCCTTCAGCTGGAATGAATGATGAGAACTCTGAGCACTGGAGCTTTCATCCACCTTTATGACTTAAAGCCCTGAGCTGTGCCAACCTGTTTGTCTTTGGATATCTTTGCTCTTAGGATCAAGATTTAGAATTCACTTTGGTCATCACTCTGAGTGTCTGAGGGTCTGTCCAGAAAAGGCAGTGGTTAGGTGGGAATGGACTGGGATTCATGGCCAGGGAGGAACTCTTAAAATAAGTGACATGTGTAGTAGAAATACAGGTAAATGAGGGAGTGAGCAGAGCATGACAGCTGCCTTCAAATGTGTCACAAGGAAGAAAGAACAAACTTGCCCTTTGTAGCTCCTGAGAGTAGAGCTGTGACTGATGAGGGAGATGCTATGGGGAGACTTGTTTCAGCTAAGCATAAGGAATATTTTTCTAGAAACTAGAGTTTACTGATAGTGGTCAGTGACTAATGGACAAGTCCAGCAGAGCCCCCAGATGCCTGTCAGAGGAAATTCTTGTACTAGATGACCACTAAGGGCCGTTCTAAGCTGGTGTTTCTAAATCTCTGTGTTCTATGTTTAACCACAATTAACAGAACAATAAATGATTCACTATTAAGCACTGATTCCATTTGTCATATGAGCTTACCATCAAGTGAAGAAGATAGACGGTAAACAAACCATTTCAAGCTATAAGTTCGGTATAGTAAAGTATAGGGTGCTATGAGCTCACATAGGAAGGGCATCCAGGTTAGCCTGGGGTAAATTATGGAGGCTTCCTGGAGGAACTGAGGTAAAAGATAAAAAAGTTGCCTGTGGCTTGACTTAGACCAAGAGGGTAAAGAGGAGTATTCCGGATAGTGGGAACAGTCAGCGCAAAGGTGGAGGGACAGCAGAGTGCACTAGAGACAGATTGCTCAGGGAAGAACTAGCTGCGTGATTAGATGCATCTAAAGAGGTAGCAGACAGCTGGGAAAGGGTCTCACCTGCCAGGCCAGGGTTTACACTCCCTGTTGAGAGCCACTGAGTCACTGAAGAGCTCTAAGGAAAGGAGTTGTGTGCTCAGACTGAAATTATGCCAAGGCCACTTTGGCTTTAGTGTGGGAATGGGTTAGAGAGGACCAGGACAGAATGCAGGGAGGTAAGTGAGGAGTCTAGGTCAACAGTTCACAAAAGAGATGATGATGGAATTAAGTGGCAGTAAGGATAGCGAGGGGTAGGCAGGCAGAAGGGAAGACTTTGTATTGAGCTGTTGGAAGGCTCTGGGTACCATTTGATGAGGCCAAGGAACCAGACCACAAAGCAGATGTGGGGGCTGCTGGGAGGCTGATGAATCCGGTTTGGGGCACATTGTGTTTGAGGTACCTGTGAGGCACAAATGTGGAGATGCCCTGTCTTTTTGTTTGGTAAAGTACCCAGTAGAGGCTCACTTTTGTCCTCTGACACCACGGAGGACTTCCTTTACGTACAATGAGACTTTTCTTCCAAAACCTTTTCATGACTGTTTCTCCCAGGTGCTCACACCATTCCTGTGAAGTGGACAAGCGGAGCTTCTCTCAGAGTGAGTGTTCAGCCCCAGTATCTCATGAAATGATGTTCGTGCTTTCTTGAGATACAGCCATACAAGGGATTTTCACACTGCTTGGATCAGTCATACCCCAGGAATGCTAGGTTTCTCCTCCTCTAGTCCACCCAGAGGAGGGTGACCAGGTGGGGAAGAAACTCTCTGTTGTGCCCCGAGAAGAATGCTTCTCTCTCTGTAAGTAAAGAGGAACAAAGGCACAGAAGGCCTAAGAGAGAAAAAAGAGTGAAACACTGAGATGGGATTGCCCCCCCTTGCCTAACTAGTGGCCTCCTTGGCTGGCAACGTAGCTGGCAGGACTACCGCCTGCGCTCCTTCCCTGGAGTCACTGTCCTGAATGTTCTTAGGGTGGTTACACAGACTCATCTTGTGGTCACCTCATGGTCCTATTTCATAACTGGCAGGGATGTTGGAGACATCCAAACTGTGGCTCAAATGGGCGGCGAGCAGTTTGTCCAAGGTTACACAGTGAGTGGGCCTCCAGGCTTCTGTCACCCAGGCTGGAGTACAACGGCATGATCTCAGCTCACTGCAACCTCTGCCTCCCGGGTTCAAGCGATTCTCCTACCTCAGCCTCCCAAGTAGCTGGGATTACAGGCAGGGATAAATGGCTAATTTTCGTATTTTTAGTAGAAGTGGGATTTTACCATGTTGGCCAGGCTGGTATCGAACTCCTGACCTCAAGTGATCTGCTTGCCTTGGCTTCCCAAAGTGCTGGGATTACAGGTGTGAACCACTGCACCTGGTTTCACCACATTGGACTTTCTAAGGAGTATTACCTAGCCACAGATCTGTAGGGTGTGTTTGTTTCTTAAAGCCTATCCCTTCTTTTTGGTTTGTTTGTTTTATACAACCCTTAAATGTCTTTCTCCAGAGCCCTGCCACCCCCTTCTTCCTCAGTACTCTCCCTTTTCTCTCTGGGATATCTTTTCTAGTCCTATGCTTTTCACTATTATTCAAGGGTAGAGGACTCCCCAGTTGATACCTCCAGCCCTGAACTGTCATATACCTTACATTACCTGGCTTCTGGTCCTATCCACCCATAGGCACATCAAGATTGACAGCTGCAAAACCAATAGTGTTGGCTTCAGAGCTACACGGGCAACTCCTACTTGTTCTTGCAATTGAGAATCCATAGTAAGTTGAGAATCAGACTTAACACACCTAAGTCTGCTTGTCATCATTTCCTGCATATCTGAGTGGGTAGCATCTCCATCTATCCAGAAATCTGATCTGGAAAGGTGAAAGCCAATTTGGATATCCCCCTCTCCCCACTACATTCGTCATCACGCCCTTTTGGTTCTTTTAAAATATCTTTGAACTCCATTTGTTCCTCTGTGTCTTTCTTGCCAATGGGCCATTATCAGCTTTCAACAGAACACTTTGGTGCCTTCTTGGGTGGTCTTCCTACCACTCATTCTTTTTCTTCCATTTTCTCTTTTTCTCTGACATATGGTGGTAGAAATCTTAAGTCAATAAAACTAAGCACAGCATTCCTTGGGTGAAATACTGCCTCCCCTGTAAAATCTCATTAATGTAGCCTAGGTAGTAGCTGAGAGCCTGGACTCTGGAGCTAGACTGCCTGGATTTGAATTCCATCTAGATGCTGAGTTAGCATAGGTAGGTTATATAATCTTTCTGTGCTTCAGTGTTCTCACCTATAAAATGGGCGATAATATTCATACCTACTTTTTAGGGTTGTTAGAAGGAGTCAATGAGTTAATATTTGTGATATGCTTACAACAGTGCTTAGCACATAGTAAATACTACATAAATAGTATGTACTATTCGTGATGTGCTTACAACAGTGCTTAGCACATAGTAAATACTACATAAATAGTATGTACTATTCGTGATGTGCTTAAAACAGTGCTTAGCGCATAGTAAATACTATTTATGTAGCATTTACTGTGTGCTTTGTTACTGTGTGCGTTGTTAAATAAAATAAATATACATCCTTAGCTTGACCTAGCAGCCTTTCAGAATTGGACACTGTTGACCTCTCCAAGCTCAAGTTCTCCATCCTCCTGCCCTTGACACTGTGCTTCCAATAAAACTCAACTGTTTGCCGTTTTTCAATACCATTATGCTTTTCCTCAGGTTTCCTTTTATCCCTGGATCATTCTTCTTCCCTATTCCTTCCCACCTCTCCTCCCCCTTATAATCCTTCAAATCAGTTATTCATATTTTAAAATCCAGATCAAATACCTCCTATCTGAGGCCATCCCTATACCACTGGACACAGATAACACTTCTTTCCCTGAGCTACTTCTTTTTTTCTTTTTTTTTTTTACTTTTTTCATTATCAAATCAATGGTATTGCATCCCTGAGCTACTTCTATGCCCATGTGCATTTTTTTAGAGTGGTGAGGCTGAAGCCTTTGGAGTGGGACAGACATAATTCTAATTCTGATTTGGCCACCTCCAAGCTCTGTGACTCTGGGCAAGTTACTTAACCTTGCTGAGCCTCATCTGTAAGACAGGAGTGGGTTACCTACTTGATGAGGCTATGTGAGGATAATATGGCAGTATGTGTCCTAAGTGCTGGGTCCAACTCCCAGCACATGGTAAGCTCACAGCAAGTACTGTGTTGTTATGATTTCGACTAATACAGACATCATGTGCTGTTTAATTTGCTGTTTGCATATGTGTCCCCATGATGGTTGAGGCCCTGTTTTCTTAAGCTTTATAATCCCAGTATCTCTGGTAGTAGATGATCACTGATATTGATGGTTACCTGAGTTTCTGGGCCTTGAAATTTCTCATCCCACTTGAGATGAAATCAGTGTCTTGGCCACACAGACCTCCCAAGTCTTGCCCCCAAGAGGTCGGTTTTGTTTTCTTGAAGCTGGTCTGAAGGAGGTGAGTCTGCACCTGGAAGGTGACAAGATGTTCTAAACCGAACAGGTGGTGTGCAGCAAGGTGTGAAGACTTGCCTGGGAGATGTGGCTGGAGGTATGGGGGGGGGGCTCTGAGACTTTGGTGGACAGGACTATACCAGCTGTGGGAAGAAGAGGCAAGTGAGACAGGAAGAACATGGAGAACCTGAGGTAAAGGAGAGGGCAGCCATGGGTGGAGGATTGTAGAGCAGGGCGGAGGGAGAACACAGAGGCTGGATAGGTCTGCTCTCAGGGCAGGTGCAATTACCTTTCCCACCTTCCTATCTGCTCATGTGCCATATTAGTCGGTTCTCACACTACTATAAAGACTTATCTGAGAACAGGTAATTTATAGAGAAAAGAGGTTTGATTGACTTACAGTTAGGCATGGCAGGAGAGGCCTCAGGAAACTTACAATCATGGCAGAAGGGGAAGAGGTACATTTTACATGGCATCAGGTGAGAGAGAGCTAGGAAGAGCAGGGAAAACTGCCTTCTAAACCCATCAGATCTCTTGAGAACTTACTACCACGAGGACAGCATGGGGGGAACCACCCTCATGATCCAGTCACCTCCCACCTGGCCCCTCCCTCAACACGCGATGATTATGGGGATTCTAATTTGAGATGTGATTTGGGTGGGGACACAGAACCAAACCATACCATGTGACTTGCTGAGAAGGGTACTTTCCCTGAACCCTTTGTTTTAAATTGCAACCCTCTCCCTCAGCACTTTTAATTCCTTCTTCTCTATTATTTTTTCCAGAGTACTTGTCACCATTGGGCATACTATTTGTTCTATTTATGTATTTGCTTATTTTCTGTCTCTCTCCACTAGAATTTAATAGCTACAAAGGCAAGTATTTTAATCTATTTACACTGATGTGTCACCAAATCTAGAACATTACCTGACACATAATAAGTGCTTAATAAATACTTGTTGAATGAATGAATCCCACCACACAAGGACCACTGCCTGTCTTAGTCTGTTCAGGCTGCTATAGCAAAATACCTTCAACTGGGTAATTTAGAAATGACAGAATTTTCTTTACTTATGGTTCTGGAGAGTGGGAAATCCAGGCTCAAGTTGACAGCAGATTCAGCATCTGGTGAGGGCCAGTTCTTCATAGGTGGTGTCTTCAATGTGTGCTCACATGGCAGAAGGGCCAGAAAGGATAAATAAGCTTCCTCTGGCCTCTGTTGTAAGGGCACTAACCCCATTTATGTAGGGCCCACCCTCATGACCCAATCAATTTCCAAAGGCTCCATCTCTTATTATCACACTGTGGATAGTTTCAACATATAAACTTAGGTGGGGGAATATAAGCATTCAGACCATAACACTGCCATTTATATTTTTGCATTCATTCGTTTAGTAAGTAGGTTTCTAAAAATTTGTGTGAGGTGTAAGCTATGTACAATAAAGTACCTCAATTTTTTAAGTATACAGTTCAAGTACTGGCAAATGTATACATCTGTGTAACAAACACAATAGCCAAGACAGAGATCATCCCCATCACACCCAAAACATTTTTCTGTGCCTTTCTTGTCCCCACTCCTGGCCCCAGGCAACCACAGATGGAGTTTTTGTCATTATTTATTGACTTTTCTGTTCTGGAATTTTATATAAATGGACTTATGTCTTGTTTTGCTCAGCATAACATTTTAAAGATTTATCTATGTTGCAAGTAGCCATGGTAAATCTGATGTTATTGTCGAGCAAATCATGTTTTTAATTTGCTTTGTGGTGTTTTGTGACCACGAGGGAGCATGTGCTCTAGATCCAGGCTGCCTGGTTAGAGTTTTGGCTCTACCACTTACCAGCTGTGTGGCTTTGGGCAGGTTTATTCTCCCTGTGCCTCCAGCCTATCATCTGTTAAATGGGGTAATGATCATACCTACCCTATAGTAGTGCAGAGGGAAGGATTAAATGAATTAGACACATAAAGTGCTTAGAATGGTGCTTGGTACATAGTAAGTATTCAAAAATTGTTAGCCATTATTACTTCCATTTTGCAAATGAAGAAAAAACTCCTGAGGCACAGAAAAATTAAGTTGTTTGTCCAGTTATTTTGATTGTAGGAAGAATGAGAATTCAAGTC